TGCGGTAATAACTTGGAATTAAGACAAGAAAATTAGTTTTAAAAGGCTAATTTAAAAATATAAGACATTGATTTCTCACACCTCCTCCTCTGACCCTCCTAGTCCCTCCCACTCATGCTCATCAGTAATCTTCATATCCATTGTGGTGGGCACAGGAGAGAGGTGTTTGGCCCTGTCCACTCCCTCCTGTCAGCCGTGTTTCTTTTCCTACATTGAGCTCCTCTTGACACATCCGTTTTTAGACATGAGTTTGCCTTTCTCCTATGACGAACGCAGCAGGAGATTGTCTGAGTCAGACTCGTTCACAACAACAGGACGGTTTCTGAAACATTTAGGCACATAGACACCAACGTCAGCCCTTATTACCAAAAGCTCTCAGGTCTGTGTCGCTACATATTTTCGTCTGCATCTTCTACATGTATGGCTCATTGGCTAACATTTTTCTGACACTTTAAAATGGGGCTGGTAGAAAAAGCTCCAGAAAATGTCTGCATTAACTTTCTTGGACTCACAAACAGCCACACAAATATCTGGACTCCAGTGCATTGCATACAGCAGCTTTACTGATCAACCCAGATCCATCTCCACGGCACTTTGCATCTTATTTTTAGTCTCAGTGGCCATCAGTGAAGCGTTTCAGAGGACAGACAGCATAGAAGTGATACACAGGAGACGTTCTCATTAAAGACGTAGGAAGTGTTCCTCCAGGTGAATTTTCTATTAACAGGTTGTCTATTTTCCTTTAATCCCTCACAGTGACATCACGCTCCGTTACAAAGAAACCTGTCGACGCAAACAGGAAGTGCCTGCTGACTGGGACCGCCCTCTAGGCAATGGCGGCACCATCGCCCCCTCCGGGCGCAGCAAACTGAATGGCAGCTCCGAGACTGTGAGGCAGAGGAAATCCTGAAGGAGGAGAGGGGGTGTGTGGGTCGGAGCCACTCACTCAGCAGCTGCTGAAGGAGAAAGGACAAGGTTTGATGGGAAAATAAATAAAATGAGTAATGGAGAATGGTGACACAGCAGAGACACACGGATGGACACGGATTTGCTGTGTAGACTGTTTCTGTGCCTACATGAAACCAGTAGTCATTCAGACAGGTGAGGGTGGAAGGGGCTGTTTTCATTCGGTGCATCGTCTAGTAATTGTCATACTACACGGATTTACCTCATTCTATTTTTAAAGAACATTTGCGCAATCATGCACGTGACGTGTTATTTATACATGTGAATGATAAGGGGGGGGGGGGCTTATGCAGAGTAGTGGAAGGAGGGATAGAGGTGACCAGTGACTCGACCAATAACTGAAAGCAGATTCCATTTTCTCAGCTGCACTTTGTCTTAGAAAACAAGCATCAAGATCATGTCGGCCTCTGTAAATATGCTTTGTTCTGTGTCATTCAGTGCTGATGAGACAAATGGAGAGTAATTTCTTGATGTTATGACTGATCTGGATTCCATTCATTGTCCATTGCTGCGCAGTCTTCAGTATCTTTAGGAGTTTGGCCACACTATTGCCGAGCAGCAGTTAAAACTAAGCTTGTCAGTAACAACAAATTTCTGTTACCTTCAGTTAAAAGGACTTTTTGGTCTATTGATTTCCATAAGTTTTTAATAGATTGTACTCTGTTCTTAAATTTGGTCTGATTTTTTTTTTATTTATATAAATATGTTAACATGTTGAAATGTTATCAGCTTTTCATTTACAGTTCAGGTATTTGATTCTTGGAAGCGCTGACCCTGGAGGTCCTTAAAACTGCTGCGGGATCCTCCCTCCGTCACAGAGAGGAGAGGAAAACCATCCTAAGTGGTTCTCTCCTCTCACGCTTTGTTCTTGAAAAGGACGAGTTTGTAAAATACAACAACAAGAACATCAAGATGTACCATATTCTAGGTATTTAACTTCTGATACTACACATGATGTATGAGATATAGTCTGGGTATTTTTTTGTAGATGTTTTGTTGTCACTGTTATTTCTTTAGGGTGAATCGATTCTGAACACTAGATTTTGCTCAAGCTCTTTTTTCTTTGGTAAATGTGGTGCAGAGAAATCTGCAGCATTCTTATGAACCGATCCACGACAATCACGCTGACAGGAAGCTGTGCTCACTGTCCTCTCTGACGTTGGCTCCCATGTAGCACAGTCATGAATCTACACTGTCATGGTTGAGGCTTTGCTGAACTGTTGGCCCATTCAGTCACATCAGAATGGAAATTTAATACCTGATTCTTTTTAATGCCAAATCTCTTTTTCCAGTTGAATTAATTTAATTTTTCGAAAGAAATGAAGGTTTAATGTTGAGTTAATTTGGAAGAGAACCCCTCGCGTGTGTGTGTGTTGGGGGGAGTTGCCATATTGCACATGCAATCAGCCAAAGCTTAGATCTCATTCTTGTTAAAGCCATAAAAGCCGCACAGACCCACCTGAGCCGCTCCAACTGCTGTTAAACCTCACGTAGATTCCTTTTGATTTGAAGCAAAGCCGAATTTCAAAGCCACTGGAGTGAGTCGCCTCAGTAAACGGTTTTTTATGTTCCAAACTTCACTTGACACCTGGAAACTAAATTCTGACAGTATGTCAGTAAGTTGGAGATCTCACCTCATTTCTGTCACACTGGCTATCTCGTGTCAGGTGCTTCTGATTTCCTTCAGTTTTAAAGTTTTAAACCTTTAGTCCTTGAATCGTTCATCAACAGAAGATAAATCCACAGCTTTTTTGAAAATCAGTTGATATTTTTAGTCATTTTTCAATTAAATTTGTCAAATATTCTCTGGCAGCAGCTTCTGTGGTAGTCAACTGAAGACCCTTAGGTCTCAGCTACTGGACAAAACAAGGAAATTGAAGTTGATTGACTTTTCCACCATTTTCTGACATTTTACAGACCAATCAATTAGTTGAAAATTGAGCAACTGATTAATCAATCAAAAAAGTTTGTTTGTTAAAAATAAACTGCCTGACCCAAACCTGGAAAACCAAGTGAGTAGCCTCATCGTCACTACCATCTGACACCAGACACTTGGCCAAAGAGACGCAGTTCTTGCCGTCATTTAAAATAAATGATCCAGAAATGTCATTATCATACAACACAATAAGCAAACTGAAAATAACACCTTTCGCGTTCTGATCTTGCTGAATCTCCACTATCAACAAAAAAAGCTTTAGTCTCTTTAGGTCAGAGAATCAGTGGTTAACTCGTGTGTGTGCTTGTGCGCGTATGCACGTGCAACATCCGTGACTAGCTCCTAATGATCTTGTTGTAAACTTGGCTGCTGTATGAAGATAAAGTCCTTTTCTTGTGAATGTAATCCAGCAGAATCTGTTTTTCAAAAGAGAGGGATGATCATCATTTAGAAGTCCTGACGTATGTCACATATACAAAACTAATTCATTCTTAGCCAGGCTTTTGAAATACTTCACCCTCTTTTTTTGAACAGATTGCTGTGCAAATTAAAAACCCTTAAAACCTCTAGCTGATGTGTAAAACTGCTCGTTTTTCTGTGCTGTCCTGGTTCAGTGGCTTGAGAACTTTGTAGAAGTCCAGAGAGTTTGCTTTTTTCCTTCTTAAATCAAATGGATTTAGACGTGGGGCTGGGGGATTCACTTTGTTACTGTGTTCATGTCTTAGATTGGTTGAAGTGCATATATTTGCACATCAGCTCTGAAATCACTAAATAGTAAATTCAGAGACTGAAATGGGAACTGGCCAAAAATAATAATAATAAATAAACGGGACCTTTTCCTTTACTGTTTAAAGAATTTGTAGTTTCACTTGCGGACACATGGGGGTGGTAAATGATTTGTTGATTTGCTGCTGGCCCTGCCCTGTGTTCTTGTCTCCATGACAATGATCATTGGCAACTTGCAGTTAAAAGCCATTTTTAATTTTGGTTTGTGTAAATGTGAAACATATTAATGATCAGAGAAAAGAAATATGCTGCTGCACCACATAATTTTATAATGTTTTCAATAAAATCAAATGAAAACCTGACTCGAGCTCAGCTCTTTGTTGTTTTTACAAAATCATCATCAAACAGCTTCTATTGTGGTTATGTGATCCACTAAAAGAACCCCTGAAAAAGTCTAACATGTAATAATCTGAATCTAAGGCTTTAAAAACTTAAATATGTTAAAATACTATGTAATATGTATTTAATACATTTAGGTAGCGCTTATGTAAACACTTGTTTATCATTACTTCTGCTGCACTTTAAAATTAGTTTGGGGAACATGCAGTTGGTTTTGTGCAGATAGCATTGTGTAATAAAACTACAAACATGGAAAAAAACTCTCACAATTGATCTCACGACAATCAGCTTCACTGTAGAAAAGACAACACCCTCTGTCTGCTGTAATTTACGTGTTTAGACTTCACCTTATCTTAAAATATGGGAAAGTGTAAGTAATTCAGGCACTGATATTCCTTCATATCTGTCAAACTGGGCATGGATCTTATATTAGATTCATTATATTAAAAAGCCTTCAGTTGAAATTGTTGAAACTTGCAGAAACCCACGTGGTCATAGATGACCTGTCACATCAAGCAGATGAGTTGGTGATGAAACTTTTAAAACCTTTCACTACACATTGATTGATTAGTTGATTAGATCCTTATCCAGTACGTTGGCAGAGACGTCTCACACAAGAGCATTAACGCAACACACAACAAGAGCCACAAGTTAAATACAGAAGCCACACGACGGAAACACAATCTCAACTGAAGTGAGCGACAACGGTTGTTGACCATGAAATAGCTTTTGTAGTCGTGTTTTCCGTTACAGCGCTTGTGTGACACATCTTGTCCACCACTAAATTAATGTTTTCAAACACATACCAACACAAAACAAAATTAATTTTGTCCTGGCCACATAGCGTTATTTTAACTTGTTTCTGTAATAAGTACATTCACCGACCTGTTTGTGTGTCAGCAGCTTTACTTCAACTCTTCTTCCACTGAGGGTTTCCTTCAATGACGTGTGAACAGACGAAAGAGACACAATGTTTAGTTTCTTTGTTCTTTAAAAGGAATGACAGGCGGTTTAAAAGGAGCACTTCATTCCAGAAATTCAGCAAAGATGTTAGAACCCAGCCAAACTTTACATTACATGTGCAGTTTCAATACAACAATCATAATTTTACATTATTTATTTTCAGGCGACTTTTAAGAAAGTTTTTAAGAAATACCCAGCCCCATAAAGTGTTTCCCTAGTGCAGAGCATTTTAGTTGTGAATGGAAGATTGGATTTATGTTGTTTACCTCTATGTAACACATGAATTAACCTGCTTCACTTAGTTTAAGGCAAAGTGTTTTATAGAGGCCTATTAAATGAACAAGTGGAGCAGTGTCCCACTTGTCTTTAATTGCATAGTTTCATCCATTCTTCAGTCACTGTCCTTCAGCTAATCCCTCAACAAGCCCAGTGCACTGCAGTGAACCCATTCTGGGGTTAACGCAGATGTAACTACTGTCATTCTCACACATTACTTCAGTACTGGATTAATCAGTACAGATAAAATACTCTCTGGACTCCCTGGAGCAGCTAGAGTGGATATCAAGCATTAGCAAAGCAGTGCATAGAACACCGGAGTGTAATTAAAAATCATTTCACTACCAAAATATACGATTTTAAGCTCTAGAAACAGACCGCTTAGACTTTCCTTTACGCCTGAGATCGTCGTCTGAACATGTACCACAGCCTCTTTGGTTTACGGTTTTAGAGTTTGATGTTCTTTGGTGCTTCTGTGGTAAATGGCACCTTGCGAATGTGCACAAGAATCCATAATAGGAAATACAAGGCAATAATGTGCATATTTGTAAATGTGCTCAGTCTCAAAATGAACTGGGATCTCAAAGCTAAAAAAACACATCTATAAAATAATCTGCAAAGAGTAGAAAACTGGTACTAAAGAGACAAACCTTTGAAATCAATGAATCAGTAACTGTGATTAGTTTAGCTGTAACAAAAAACAATACTGGTTAGGGATATGTTTTTTTTTACGTGTTTTAGAAAAATGTTGTGTGAATTCTAGAAATAAAAATTCCCTGTTTGTGTTTCTAAGATCGGACCAGTTTGAAGCCTAGACCTGTGTCCAGTATCGCTGGTGGGAACCAGTTGAGTTTGAGCCTCTTGAAGCATTGCAGGCAGGTGCCGCAGATCGACACCTCATTCATTCTGTCGCACCCCATAACCAACTGCACCACCGGGTGCGTCATCTCGGGATAGTACATGCTCAAGTGGTTGGTGACGTCGTTTCCGGTTGGCAGGTGCAGCTTGTAGTCACTCCAGTGTTTGGAGATTCCGTATATGGCAGAGACCACCCTGCCACTCCCAGACCACTGGATGTTGCTGTTCGAGTTGCAGTTATACTCCACCCACTGAGAGGTAAAGTCTCCTAGCTGCGGTGTGTCCTGCAGCTCCACATCTGGCACCCTGGCGAGCGTCGCTCCCTGCACCGCTATGTACGGGCCCTCCACCTTCTGGATCCCCTTCACCCATTGCAACGAGTTGTCACAGTCCAGCACCAGAATGAGGCGCGAGCAGAATCTGCTGTTCTTCTCCCGCCACCACTCCAAGATGTGCTCCAAGCGAAGAGTGTCTCCTCCTGATGACCACAAAAGAATAACATTGAAAACAAAGAGAATAAGATACTTGCCAGGGATTACTGAAGAGATTAAACATAATATATACATAACTATAAACTGCGATCAAATCATCTTTACTAAAGCAGCTGCCAACATCACCTATAACATCTAGTTTAATCATCCTGGTCTAAAGTGTTCTAAAGGCATTAAATGTTAGACACATGAGCAACATTAGATCCTCATAGAACTGTGCATTTATGCTTAGAATAATAATGCAATGAGTTGACTATGTTGAAAATACAATTGTTTATCAGGAGTATTCATCATTGAACAAAACTTATGATTTACAATTGACAAAAATTACTAATTGTCATTATTTAAGGTTAATTACAAATTTTAACTACAGTGTATTAATAATGCCTACATCATAACGACATCATTCAACCAAAGCCGCTTTCAGACAAGCACTGAAGTCCAAATCACTTTCAGAAATTTTCCTGCCAACCCCGTGGTACAAAGTTCAGAAAATGTCCCGAGTGTAAGAATACAGCAGGAAAACTCACAGCAAACCAGTGGGCGTGTTGATGAATTTAACACACGGACATAAAAGTGAAAAAACAAAGAAAGATCTCAGGAAGAAAAAGAGGTGTCATACAAGTAGAATATGCCAACAAAGATTTCAACTTGGAAAGACAACGAGATTCAAGATCTTTTGATGATAAAGGGCCAACGCTGGGGTCAATGTGCTGCAAAAAAAAACACTTGCTTATCGCAGTGGAATATATACGTCATGGCCTCCCACCTGCATGATCTCCTGTTGCATTCTTTATATGTGAAGGAAGAGAACTCAAGAAATGTCTGGAACCAATTTTCCAGAGTAAGAAAAAAAAATGTGACTGTATTTTTAGTTTAAAGTTGCTCATGTAACAAAACTCAAAGCATCTCATTTCTTCACAATAAAGCACCTACAAAAACAGTGGTTGAAGACAATCTTACGATCACAGTAACAGCACATCTAATTGTGCACCCTGACTTCTTTTTGTATTAAGAGCATGAGCCTGATAGTCGTCTCACCTGCCAGCGCCCACTCTCCACTTCTGTGGGTATGACCGCTGTAGTAGATCACGTAGGTGTCGTGGCGTGGCCCGTCTTCCGTGCGGAGGTCCAAGAAGGATTTGATCTTGACCTGCAGGGCCTCGAGAGTCACGCCGCTGGTGGAATAGTCACAGCCGAAAGTCTCGATCAGGTGGTGGGCGAAGAAGCGCTGCACGCTGTTCAACATGCCTGTGGAGCGCCTGTTCAGATCTTGCACCTGGTCCGGAGGCAGCAGCATGGGCTGACCGTCGGGGCTACAGCACAAATACAAACAACACAGAGGAGTGAATGAAGCATGTCTACACACAGGCCAGAGCAACACCTGACTTCTGACATGTTGTATTGCATGTGATGTTTTCCTGCCAACAAGATTTGAATCATTTCCAGGAAATACAATCCAGTTGTGTCTTATTTTTGTGTGGCCAGATGCACAAATATATAATAAAGACACAAAGCAAAAACTAGAATGTCACTAGGTAGAGCACATATCTCTGCCAAGGCCCAACAGTCCACTTAAATTCAATCGAGCTGCACCAAATTTCACACACTCATAGTTATCAGTTCCCTAAATGATTTGTTTCCTTTTAATATCTTATATTCTCGATCATCGCAGTCAACTTAAACATGTCTGGTAGTTTATTTACCACCCCTCGCAAGTGGTAAAGCGTCACACTGTACCTGCAGTAGTTGGTGGGAATGACCAGCGCGTAGCCCACACAGGTTCCTCCCAGGCAGCTCCCCAGCTCATAGAAAAGCCCATGGAACAGAGACTCGAGAGGAAAGACCAGCAGAACCACGCTCAAGAAGAGGCTGCTGGAGGCCTGCACAGCACAGTTATCAGTCAGTCATTCAAACACTGGTTTAGCATTAGATGGACAAGAAGAAAACTTCTGTGCAAGACGACAGCACAGAAGTTTTAACATGAATCTTGATCACAACTACTCAGCAAAACTCTCAAGTTCAGGTCAGGATGAGAGTATGCTCCTAAATAATTCTTCTTATTAAAAAAAACAGGCATTATTTATTTCAACTATTTATTAGGGGAAAAGGGATCTGTGAGACTGTGGTGTGTTCTTCATCCTTGTTTCCAAATTTCTTTAACTTTTGAAAAATAGTTTCAAGTTTAATGGAAAAAACAGTTACAGCCCTAAGACAGTGCATCTTAAACACGGACACATCTTTCAGGAATGTTTTAGACTTGAAATGTTGTGTCACTGCTTATCTTGAACATTGATTCACCTCAATTCATGTAAAACGCTGTTGAAAATGTTTGTGATTTTGTTGGACTTCAGCAACATATAATTCTGTATTGATGCTTGTATTATTTATTTTTTTAATCATTATCTGTAGCATGATTTCTCTTTTGAACATGCCACCATAAAGCCCTACGATAGAGAGATAATCGTGTATGTGATACCTCTACATGTGTTGTCTCATACCTGCCAACAAAGAGCAGCAACAGCAGCAGTAGCGACCAGGGCCAGGCTCACCAGGCGCTCAGAGATGAGGCAGAAGTGTCTCATGCCCCTGGAGGCCATGATCTTGTCCAGTCTGCTGACCCCTGACCCCTGGGACAGGCCCAGCCTCTGGCACTCACTGAGCTTGGTGTTGAAGCCCCACACAGTGATGACAAACACCAGGTGGGAGATGCACCAGAAGATCAGACACACCACAAATCCTGGGATCATGAAGTACCACCGGTCCCGGTCCGTGAGCTTCCGGCCGGCCAGGACGATGAAGGTCACCTCCACCGCCAGAAGAGGCAGCAGGGACAGCCGCCGCCACAGCCCCCTCCACAGCAGGAAGGGCTGCCAGCGCTCGGTCACGGAGAGGCCGCTGAAGTAGACATCCAGCAGGGGGTCGCAGATGAGCTGGCTGAAGAAGCAGGCGAGGGCGAACGGGTTGGTGGTGACTTCCAGCGACTTAAAGAACCACACCGCGGTGACGGCGGAGAAGAACCCCAGGTTTAAGAGAGCCAGCAGCGCTTTCATCCGGAGGGCGATTATGACGGCGGCCAGCGCCACGACCAGCACCATCACGCTCAGGGACTCCCGGGGGAGCAGCGCGGTGCTGGCGGCGGCGAAGCCCACCAGCTCCAGCAGCTCCGCCGAGGTGAGGAAGGCGGGTCGGTACCGGGCGCACCCCAGCAGCCTCTCCAGCAGCGCACACAGCGTCCTCAGAACCACGCTGGCCAGCAGCAGGTAGTCGGCCGCCTGCTCCTTCACGTCGCCCTGCGGAGCCGGGCTGTTGAGGAGGCACAGCTGCCCCAGCAGGAAGCCGAAACACAGGTAGAGGATGCTGCGGCTCACCCGCTCCGTGCTGAAGTAGAAGTACAGTATGCTGGCCACCCCCGGGACGACCAGAGCCAGCACGAAGATGACGAGGAACGTGGAGTCCGCGGTCCTCTCCCAGCGGGCGTACATCCCCAGGCACAGGGCGAGCAGCAGGGTGAGCCTGGGCAGGTACCCGAGCCACTGCACCGGCGACCACATGCTAACCTCCCCCAGTCGGGCCATGGTTGTGTGGAGGCAGTGGCTGACACAATAGCGTAGGAATCGAGACATTCTGATATTTAAGACCGAAATAAACCGGCACTTTGGCGGGCTATAGTCTGTTCACAGCCCGGGGAGACATTACAAACCCCGCGACTGACTTCCGCAACAAGTTGAGCTGCTGCGTGGCTAGCTTAGCTACAGCTAGCTATCAGCGGAGCATCTTCAACAGTGACATCCTGAAGACCGCAGCTCTGTCATCGTTTCATCCGCTTCACTGGACACAGGCCGGAGGGAGCAGGGTGCAGCTGTCAGGACCGCGGGGAACACATCAGGTCAAAAAGTTTGGGACGCTAAAAGTTTTGATCTGATCAAAGTCGCCATGACACGCTCTGACTACGGCAAGCGCAGAGGGTCAACAAGTGAAAGTCATCAGTCAAATCGGAGTTTTTTAAATTTATTTCAAATGTCTGATATGTTATAAATATGTAAGTTTAATAGAATTTGGTTGAAATATGTCTTCTGTATGAAGCCATCGTCGATGTTTCTTGTTAGAAACTATTCGAGGTCAGTGAAAGAGCATGGATTGACCTCAACTTTGTCAAATGATCAAACAGTGAGGACAACGGGATGGAAAATGACACAGACACAAATAAAGCTTTATAGACACAGACAATGACCATAAAGACACTATATGTCCTCAAAGACACACGTAAACTATACAGAACAGCCGACAAATGGCAATTGACACGAATTACACAAAATGACCAGAAAGATACAAAAAAGGACCCCAGACACACAAAATGTCAATTGAGACACAAAATGGTCACATGGACACAGAAAACTAGCCTCAAAGAGATATGACACAACAAGCAGGTCACAAAACAAGAAGAAACAGAAAATCACCAGACAAATGACAATTAAAAACAATATTTATTTTTTTTCACTGTATTTTGAGTATTTATAGTTTTGTGCTGCTATTTTAATTTGCCTGTTTGCCAGCTTCTCCTACAAAAGCGGATTCTGTGTACCAAACGCAAGTATTCCAATGTACCCATACAGTCTGGTACCTGTGGAAATGGTCTCATTCTAATGTGCAGTATTACTACATGAAGTAATCCTGGGGGCAGCAGTAGCACTGCTGAGGTGCCCTTGAGCAAGGCACCAAACTCACCAATTGCTCGCAGGGCGCTTCTCCAGGGCTGCCCATCACTCTACCATCTCTCTCCATATTTGCATGTCTATGAGCCCCTTGTGTGTGTGTGGGATTGTGGGTTAAAAACTGCGTGTATAAATAAAAATGATTGTAAAAAGAATTTCCCCCATGGGGGATCAATAAAAGTATATTGTCTTCTACTTCTTCTTCTTCCTGCCTCAAGATACTGACCCCTGCTCTATTCATGTTTTCAATCTCTAATATGTTCAGCCAGTGATCCACTTGAGCCACTATTACTGCTTCCAAACTTCATCAGCAGTAAATAAATATAAAAAAATAAAGGCACAATACACAAAAAATACTCACACGGACACTTCACATCTACATTCATTTATAAAAGAAAGATACAACCGTACTACAAGCACACATTGTTCTGCATTGTTGAAAATATGTTGATAATGAAGATGAACCATCTCATGCAAATTGGCTAAAAGAAACACTGGAAGACAAATGCACCAAAATCAGTCACAAAACACCCTTCAGAGTCTTGAGTATGTGTGGTTACTGTAAAATGTTTTTTTTCTTTTTCAACAGAGAGATGTGCATTACTAGAAAATGATATGGAAATGGCAACAACACACTGCATTACACCAACACTGGAACTGTTCCTTGTTAACCGTTAATATGACAAAAGAAGAACTGAATAGTTTGTGTACATTGTTATGGGCCAAATATGCTTGATATCTTGTGTTGAAAATATGTGAGGTTAATTTTCAACAAGGGTATGAAAGTGGGAATGCAACAGAAATGTGAACAAAGAAGGCACCTTAGACTCACTGGCATCATGTTATGGGCCCATCATATTGGTTGTAAACCATCATCGTAGGAAAATAATTACATTTTGTGACACCCTTTGTGATCAATGATAAAGTGCCACAGGCGAAAAAAGAAAAAAAACATCACGTAAATGTATTCCTTCATTCACGCTGACAAACCCAACCACAGTCACACATTGGGCCTGCTCAAGGACAGGCGGGAACACACGCTAACGTTTCACCTGGTAGTGTCTTCGTATCTTGCTGGCTATTGCTAAAATCTACAGTATGTCACCTGGTTCAGAGGTTCAGTTACGACAAAACAATAAATTAGTGCAAATTTCTTCTGTCAAGGTGAATTTTCTGACTGTGGTGAGATCAGATTGAGATGTTTTCAGAGGCAGAGTGCTTGCTGTATTTTCACATCCAAGTTACAAAACTGTGTCAAAGGATACTGGTGCTGAAATGGTCACTGACACACAGTGTTGTACCACGCTCCTCTGCTTGAGAGTAAAAATATACTGGAAATCTAACAGGAGATAATTCATCGTTGATATTTCTGAGGACAATAAGGAGGAGAGAAGAACCTACTTTGAAATAATCGTACCTTGTTACACGATGAGTAAACACAGTTACAGTTTCACATTAGTAAACCTAGTAATACTCCTACTGTACGGTTCTGAAAATGTTCAAAATGCTACAAATACAACGTTCTTGTAAAAGATACACAAATCATTCAGAGGATCCCAAGTTAAAATGGCATTGCCACACTTTTACACTGGACAACACCAATGTTCTGACTGTTGAGAATATAGATTTCAAAACGATCAACTTCTTCTTCTGTCTTGGAAAAAACTAAATGCACATCAAGGATTATCAGAAAGTCGAGCTGCATGACTGTGACAGAAGCAAGCGTACCAAGTCCTGTCATTCCACCTCAGTCCCTCCAGTGCAATCGGACTACCAGACTGCTCGGGTTGCTGTATTTGGCATTTATACTAAGCAGCCTGCCACACTAGCTTATTCAAACAGAGACTGAGTACAGAACGCAGACAAGCTGACTTTTGTTATTGATTTGAAGATGGGGTGGAAATGGAGGAGCAGGGAGTAAAGATATTGTAAGGGAATTCACTTTCCAACTCTTAAGACTCTTAAAAAACCTAACTATTTATCAAAATATATCCATCTTCGTGTGTGTGTGTGTGTGTGTGTGTGTGTGTGTGTGCGCGTGTGTGCACTTTCAGAGAAGTGTGTGTATATGAGAAAGTAATCTGTAAACTCTCTATCACACTGTGCAAACTGCATTGGAGGAGAGGGAGGATCAGGTGGAAGAGAATGCAGCAGGTTAAATTTGGCAGCGCAGCAGTTTGAAGGTAAGGTGATGGTGGAGGAGGGGGAGTCGCTGGTTTAGCCTAGCTTTGAAGCAGTATGGGGTCCTCTAGCTCGTGAAAGCCAGGCACCGAGCTGCTCTGGCTCTCTCCAGAATCAGAATCGTAGGGCGTGTCAGGTAGCTCCATGAAGCCCCAAGCCAGCTGGTCATCCTCGAACTCGGAGCGCACCTGCACTGGCACGTCGGCACAGTCGTCCTCCTCATTGGAGTTGAAGTCCTGAGGGATGTAGAGCATCTCCGGGTAGTTGTGCGAAACAAGGTCACTGGTGGTGGCCAGTGACACCTTGCGGAAGGCGATGAGATGCATGTGGGAGTACTTTATGTACTTGTAGCGCTTGAAGCCCAGCGATTCCACCGCCACGCGCCAGCTGCGCATCATGAGGGCGTGGCGGTTTTGGTGGGACGAGTCGGGCGTGATGATGAGCAGCAGGCCATGCAGCTCGAGCAGCTCGTGAGCTTTCTTGCAGCAGATCCAGCGCTGGTACGGTGAAGGAAAGTACGAGAGGAGCAGTGAGAAAACCACCACATGGAACAGCTGGCCTGGCAAGGCGTCGATGGGGTTGTGGAGCTGGCGGAGGAAGGCGTCGACCGCGTCGCCTGCCAGCTGGAGAGGCTGCTGGAGCTGGAGGTTGAGGAAGTCACACTTGTACACACTCTGAAGGAGAGAAAAAGCAGAACAATTAGTGCAAATCATGGTTCAAAGGTGATCTTTTACCACCACAACCAATGTAACCCCTGCTAAGCTGCTTCAGACATGCACTGAACTCCAGACAATCTCCTGAAATCATGCAGAGGAACTGTATGTGAGAACATAAATGTCTGAATCAGTTGATGCATTCATTCTCTGAGGTTTCTCCTGCCAGCTACCTAGAAAAACTCTGGAGAATGTCCAAGTGAGCCCATGTGAGAATACAGTACTAGATTATCAGGAGGGTTCATCGTGTGCAAGTGGGAGTGTGATGACTTTCTTAATATGCAACAGATGCGAAACTGAAAAAAGAGAATACAACTCAGGGATGAAAGAGAGGTGGCATACATGTAACAGACACAGATAAAGATGTCAACTTGGAAGGACAACTCTCTGTTGTGGACGTGTCTGAGCAGAGTATCTCCAGCTGCATTGTTCATATGTGAAAGGCAAACTCCGGAAAATGTCAATTGTGCAAACATATTACAGAATTCGTGTCTGAAAATTGAGTTTCATTACTGGCAGCTACAGGATGTATGGCACTTTTTGTTCTGCTTTCTGCTGAACACACTCTTTACGCACACAAGCGCACAGACACACACAAGGCTGACACCCCTGTTTAAGTCATCTTGGCTCTTGCTTTGCTCTGTAATGCCAACACAGAGACACCAGACAGGAAATCCTAATGTGTTAACTATTTAAATGATATTGTCAAAAGTAAGAAGGAACACTCGTACCTCGACTGCAGGCACTATGTCGATACCAACTGTGAGGAACTCATCAAACTTTAAGAACGGGTTGAAGCAGCTGCCCACGTCAAGAAGACGCATCTTTCCCAGATGAGAGATTGAACTGAAACACAGATGTGGAAGAAGTGTCAACTGAAGCAAAAACATAATCATCCCAGCACACAATGTGCTTAACACTGTGTGTTTTTTAAAAGCAGCTTATTGGCAAACAAACAAGTTACTTCAGTATCCAGTTCTAATAGACACATCAATAGTGTGACTATTTAAATTGTAACGATTAATTGATTTGTGATGTTTTTATGAACATTATATGCAACAGATAAATGCATTTACTGTCTGCTACATGTTACAGAAATTATCTTTTAAAGAAATAAACTGAAAATATTGCATAAATATAGCATAAAATATTATTGTGGCGAGGAGCATGTTTTTAAGATACTTGCTGAATATGAAAACAACCATTTCAATTATCAGAAATACTACAGATGGACTATGTTCTACACCCAGTGACATATATGTACATGTATAATTATGTGTCCACACACATCTGATTTGCAAAGCATTTAAAGGTCCAGTGTGTAAAATTTAGGTGAAAGGGATCTATTGGCAGATATTTAATGTAGAATAATCCTCATGATGTTTTCACTAGTTCATTTCATCTAAATCGTATGAATTGTGGTTTTCTTTATCCCAGAAAAAGAATGTGTGGTTGGAAGGAGAGGGTGAGGTGAGGTGAGTGGTGTTCAGCTGCAACATGCAATTACAACACTAGATATCACAAAAATCTACACACTGTACCTTTAAGAGGCATTTATAAATAAGAATGAAACGCCTACTAAACAAAGGCTTTGAACATATCTCCCTGCTTTGGCATAGATTGGCTTTAGAACAGACAGTCTTGCAGCTTTTGAGGGTGTGGTGCGTTCATACTGGTAAAAGGAAGTATCCTTAAAGTCGGTGGGAGTGTACTCTTGTTGTTCACTTTAATATTGTGAAATTTAGAGATAAAAATATTTCAAATATTATATTGGTAAAATAGCTTCAAAAACAGAAACATTGATTTTATCAGTGAAATTCCAAAGTTGTAGTTAGGCTGACATCAGACAATGCATGTATTTCACAATTTTCTGTTCTATTAAACAATACTATAAAGACTAGTATATATTGTTTATAATTGTTATATAATTAGTATGGAATCAGGACATAATTGCTATGTTAGAGAAAGTAGATATATAAGAACACTAACTTACCTCGGGATAGTGCTGTGTGGTTGGGCATTTACAGATGCTGCAGTCAGACTCATGGCGAGCGTGGCACTTTTCTCATCCTTTTCTAACATTCGTTTTATCCCCCCATCCAGAAAATATTCTTGACAAACACTGAAGGAGTGGAAAACATCACATTACTGTGAAAGTGAGGATGACTTGTCACTTCTAATATCACTGTCATGAGGTCCAAACATTGCAAGGAGAAGACATCTTAAGTCTGCCATA